CCCCATAACCATTGTTTACGATGTGTGTAGTCTCAGGTACCGTGTAAGAAAATATGCAGTGAAGAAATATGCAGCAGTGGTCCACATACATGTACATGTTCTCCCTAATCTACATGTACATGGTACTGTATGCACAATCTACAGATGCACATTTTTCAACCCATACATGTATATATAACATGGCAATCATGTACATGTATTGTTACTGTACATGTACATGTAGTTGTGCATGCAAAGGTAATGTTTATGATCAGGTCTTCAAGTGAAGTACATGTACATTATACATGTGAGTGTACTTGTATAGTGTCAACATTGTGGCTTGGGTTTTGAGGTGTTTGAATCTAGGTGGTGGCTAGGTGTATGGTTTGTCCTTGGGCAAGCCACTTTACCCATACCATACATGTACTTGTTATGTACACATGTATTTGTTATGTACACGTATGTTTGCGTAATATATCACTGTGTGTATGATGTTATTCCTACAGACAATTGCGACAGAAGCAGTCCAACATTTAAGCATCTTTGCTCTATAAATCTACAGGTGTACAAATTGTGTTTTGATCACGGCCCTGCTTTTACATGTATGTCCAGTTATGCTCTTGACTATTTGCATGACAAATCCTCACACTGTGGCTTCAAGTTATACAGAGAAGGAAATGTGAAATGAAACATTGAAATAGTTTCAACTTGCCATTATCCATCCTAAAGCTTCCTATCTTTCCGGTTTCCTATCTTTCAGTTTCTGTCTTTTTTCTCTTTGGTCTTTGTTAAATTCCTGATAGTGCTTTATATTTCAGGTACATACCGGATACTATACACCATAGTAGAAAACCAATCAGTGCGGGTGTTGCTGAAACAGCAAATCACTTATCTAGAAAATTCCAAAATCATCTTGAAGGAGCAAGAGACAGATGTGAGTCCTACTGACCAAGAAGGGAGACGATAAAGGTATTGTTGCCAAACTTGAAAGGGCAAAGATTTGCCAAGAGATTTACCGAGTATTACATTGCTCTTGTGTGATTTGTTCAATGTAATCTGCTGTGAGTAAGTCCACAAGAAATGAATGTTTTGGTAACAAGCACTGAGTTATGCAGTTGAGGTTATTGACTCGGCATGATTATTGTGTGGTCTAAATAGACTTTGTCTCACAAATATCAGTTTCAACATGTTGTTCTCGCGTCAGGGAAAATCAACTTAAGGGAGAAATTGAAGGGTCAAATTTCAGTTGAAGTACATGTAAATCACTTGCATTGCCTGCTGGATTATAATGGATGTTTTTCCAGTTCATATTCTCATGGCTTTTTTGAACTATCAGAATTTCACAAAAATCATCAGCTTAGAATGTGATGCATTTCCAATGTACATGTACGAGTGTGTTCAACCAACCACATCAGTCCTTCATGTTTTATCACTGGTAACTGACTTCAAGTGCATGGACTGTGGATAGTCACTGTGTTATGTCAGTGTTCAAAACCATAGCCACAGCTGCAAAATATGATTAAACCCTTTCAGATAGCTGCTTCAATGTACATGTACGAGTGTGTTCAACCAACCACATCAGTCCTTCATGTTTTATCACTGGTAACTGACTTCAAGTGCATGGACTGTGGATAGTCACTGTGTTATGTCAGTGTTCAAAACCATAGCCGCAGCTGCAAAAAAAAAACATGATTAAACCCTTTCAGATAGCTGCTTCAATGTACATGTACACGTGTGCATGGCAAGGAATAATAGTACATGTATGTAGTTGTGTTTAGAATAAGCTTTTTACGTACAGCTACTGGTAGCAAATCATTCCATGTTGCATTTCAGTGCCAAGAAATGGAAACCATTGCCACAAAATGGGCAATCCAAACCTTATTGAGATACATGTATTTGGTGTTGTACATGCACGTGTAGGTGAAATCCTTCAGATGTATCCTTGGTATCAAGTCACATGAAGTTCAGGGATTTGTGGGAAGGTTTTGTTTTGGGTAAGTTTTCAGTAACATGAATTCCATCTCATATGGTACTATAATATAAGATGAAATCATTCCTTCCCTCCTCAGATGGCAGATGTTCAGACCGAAGCTGATATCTCTTCAGCCAAGAAGAAAGCCACAGAGAGCTCCGCCTCCAAAGAGGAACGTCTGTGCCTCATCTGTGGTGACAGAGCCAATGGGGTACACTACAATGTCTTATCCTGCGAGGGATGTAAGAGTTTCTTCCTACGCAGTACCAAATCCAAGGCAACCTTCACTTGTTCTCAGGGTGGCAAGTGTTCCATGGATTTGTACACGCGACGGCATTGCCCTGCCTGCCGAATGAAACGATGCGTAGAACTGGGAATGAGTGTAGACAGTGAGTGCCATTTGCCTTTGTGTAACCCTTGCAGTGTTCAGAGATAAACAAGTCATTACATAATACATGATGTCATAGATGCCAAACTGCAAAACTCTAGGCTCGTGTGCGGTGACTACAGACCACTGAAGTCATTGTCTAATAATAATAAATAATAACGTAATATTTATGGTTTAAAGCTCATTACATCATAAAACAGATCTCAACAGGCTGTACAAAAATAAAACGTGCAGATATTATGACCTTAAGACTAAAACTAGAATACCTACGTGTACAGATTGTACAATAAAAAGCTAAAATAAGAGGCTGGACCCAACACCCGTAAAAAAAGCGACCACCCACCAAACACCCATGAATGCCGGATTCAACACCTTAGCCCTGAGAATGTAGCTTAAAGTTTCACAATGTTTCTCAAAATAAAAAAATGTACAGTACAGTATAACATTATAACAAGCTATGTGCGTTTTCAGTGGATGTGTGTTGCATTCAACTGCTGCCAATGATTTGGGTACATTTGTGGATGTTTGTTGCATTCAACTGCTGCCATTGATTTGGGTACAGTTGTGGATGTTTGTTGCATTCAATTGCTGCCACTGATTTGGGTACAGTTGTGGATGTGTGTTGCATTCAACTGCTGCCATTGATTTGGGTACAGTTGTGGATGTGTGTTGCATTCAACTGCTGCCATTGATTTGGGTACAGTTGTGGATGTGTGTTGCATTCAACTGCTGCCATCGATTTGGGAACCAGTTATATTTTTAGATGCATTGCGAACCATTGCACACAAAGGAAGGGTTGTGGTGGTCATCAGTGAAAAGTTGCTACCTGCATTCACCTCCTGAGAAATGAAATCCTGAATGATCACACAACTCGGCCCAACCCAATCCAGCATATCCCAACCCAAACCCAACCCAGCACAACCCAGTCCAACCTAGCACAACCCAATCCAACCCAGCACAACCTGAACCAGCACAACCCAATTCAACCTAGCACAACCCAATCTACATAACCCTGCACAACCCAAACCCAACCTAGCACAACCCAATCCAACCCAGCACAACCCAACTCAGCACAACCCAATCTACATGTAACACAACCTAAACCCAACCCAACCAATATGATTACACTTGTAATGATCATATTGAAATGTTTAAAGCTCCACATTTTACATCTTATAAACTACCTGTACAGACTACATCACTGAATGCTTGAAAGTAAACCCAAAACAGGGTAAAATATATACTGGTATCACAGATACATGTATGGTCTTCAGAGCTTTGTGGATTTAGCTGCAGAATGCCAGTGATTATCTTTGTTCTTGGTATGTGGTATTTTAACCCTAACACTCCTCAGTCCTCCAACAGGTGAAGGATTGAGGAGGGTTAGGGTTAATCTATTGGTCATTTATCCTCTTTCATCGGTAGCTGTTGTTTTATACATGTATAAAACCTGTCTTTGTTGTTTTCCAGGAGTGTGGGATGAAGACCGTTTGAAAACAAGGAAGAGGCTGATCAGAGTTAAACGGAAGAAAAAACAACCAATATCAGACCCCAACCACACCAGCTCTGCTCAGCGGAGCATGACATCACCTTCAACAAGTACTAAAACTTCCGCTGCTAACTCCCCTGCCCCAGCCCCAGTCACCCCCACGCTGACGCCAAACTTGACCCCTGTGACAACCCCAGGAGTGACCCCAGGGACAGAGTCGGCATTGAGCCCGGGTGCCAATCAGGTCATGACCCCGGACATTGCCGCTTTGATGAGTAGCGTCATGATGCCTGGGTTTGACCTGAACACCATGCAATCCTTGACCCCAACTGTTCCTGAACCACAATGGGAGCTGACTGAAGAGCAACAGAACCTGGTTGAACGATTGGAGAAAGGATATTTAGCATCGAAGGAGGTCTTCAAGAACATATTTGTAAGTATTGAAAAATACAAGAAATCGAAACAGGTGCATGGCAGAGGGTTGCTGGAATACTCAGCCATAATCAAGAATAATTCAGACAATCTCAAAGTGATGGGGGGGGGATCCTTAAGATTTTGGCTGTCTTATGCCTGATCTTTTTGAAAGGTTGCATGTAAAGACATTTCTTTAGGTCTTACTCATTTTTGTTGTCATTAAAAGGTCACATGGTCATGTGTTCNGCAGAACCCAACCTAACCCAAACTCAACCCAGCATAGCCCAGCCAAGCCTAACCCAGCATAACCCCAACCCGACCCAACTAGGCACAGCATAGCACAACACAACCCAATCCAACCCAGCACAACCCAATCCAACCCAGCACAACCTAATCCAACCCAACACAACCTAATCCAATCCAGCACAACCCAATCTACATAACCCTGCACAACCCAAACCCAACCTTGCACAACACAATCTACATAACCCTGCACAACCCAAACCCAACCTAGCACAACCCAATTCAACCCAACACAACCCAATCCAACCCGGCTTAACCCAACTCAGCACAACCCAATCTACATGTAACACAACCTAAACCCAACCCAACCAATATGATTACACTTGTAATGATCATATTGAAATGTTCAAAGCTCCACATTTTACATCTTATAAACTACCTGTACAGACTACATCATTGAATGCTTGAAAGTAAACCCAGAACAGGGTAAAATATATACTGATATCACAGATACATGTATGGTCTTCAGAGCTTTGTGGATTTAGCTGCATAATGCCAGTGATTATATTTATTCTTGGTATGTGGTATTTTAACCCTAACACTCCTCAGTCCTCCAACAGGTGAAGGATTGAGGAGGGTTAGGGTTAATCTATTGGTCATTAATCCTCTTTCATCAGTAGGTGTTGTTTTATATAAAACCTGTCTTTGTTGTTTTCCAGGAGTGTGGGATGAAGACCGTTTGAAAACAAGGAAGAGGCTGATCAGAGTTAAACGGAAGAAAAAACAACCAATATCAGACCCCAACCACACCAGCTCTGCTCAGCGGAGCATGACATCACCTTCAACAAGTACTAAAACTTCCGCTGCTAACTCCCCTGCCCCAGCCCCAGTCACCCCGACGCTGACGCCAAACTTGACCCCTGTGACAACCCCAGGAGTGACCCCAGGGGCAGAGTCGGCATTGAGCCCGGGTGCCAATCAGGTCATGACCCCGGACATTGCCGCTTTGATGAGTAGCGTCATGATGCCTGGGTTTGACCTGAACACCATGCAATCCTTGACCCCAACTGTTCCTGAACCACAATGGGAGCTGACTGAAGAGCAGCAGAACCTGGTTGAACGATTGGAGAAAGGATATTTAGCATCGAAGGAGGTCTTCAAGAACATATTTGTAAGTATTGAAAAATACAAGAAATCGAAACAGGTGCATGGCAGAGGGTTGCTGGAATACTCAGCCATAATCAAGAATAATTCAGACAATATCAAAGTGATGGGGGGGATCCTTAAGATTTTATGCAGGTCTTATGCGTGATCTTTTTGAAAGGTTGCATGGTTGAAAGGTTGCGTGGTCATGTGTTG